AATCTGACATTGCTCTTCAACAGGAACATGCCGGGGATGTACCCTGTTCTCTAATAATCTGACTACGAGGTGCTCGGCGTCCGCCGATACGGAGAATCGGGATCCGGCTTTACCTCTTACTTTCATCATCGGTCTTCTCCCCTTACTGAATTTTTCATCTGACAGTACAGGATATGTCTATTTATGACAGGTAGTATCCCAAATCTTCGTTGCGCCTCAGTACTTGCTATTGACGCATCTGCAGCTGTTAGGACAGGACGAGCGACAACAGGACGGACATGCCAGCGACCGTACAGTACGCGGCGTGCATTTGCTTTTACATGAGCGTCGACATGTGTTAGTTATATTGGACATGTAGACCATGGCGGCGCTCTGAAGACTCAGGGTGGCCCGATGGTACGTGTTCTTTTTCAGTCTATGCTTTGTGTTTTCATATCATTCTTTCCTCAGAATTTCTTACTCTTTTTTACTTGCGACCAGTTTTGTCAAGCGCTACTGTCAAAGCGATCTGTGGCTTCCTTGTATTTTTATGCGCATACGTCCCGTTTTGCTTTCGGTTTTGTTATCAAACACATGTGTGACTATCACAGTCTGGTTAGGGTCTAGGAGCTGTCTTTATGTATCTTAGACTTCAAACGTCCTTGCTCTGCGAGGCAAGACATAGCCTCCCCCGTCTTTCACGCCTATGCATCATTGCTTTTGTTCTGATTTGCTTATCTGCTGCTGTATCCCTTTCGAACTATTTCCACGTGGTCGAACTTTATGTGAACTTTTCCTTTGGTTCGTGGGGTAGCGATTCGTGATGCGACATCTAGGTCGATTCATATCCTGCGATAGCAGAAGGAAAAGCTAGCTCTTGCGGCATGAGGGTGGTCGATGGGTTCCCATGCGTTTTTTGTTTCAATCGACGAGTACTGACTGTTTCTTCCGGCGGCTTAGACAATTGAATCCGGTATTTTTAAGCGCCTGACGGATTCTTTGCGGTGATGACATATTATGACGACATAGGGTCGCTGGTGATGTTAAGACCTCTCCTTTCCAAGATTTATCCGGACGAGTTTGGACAACATAACAAAGGGACCGTCCACTAACTTGGTCTTTATTGCATGCGCTTCTAACTTGCGCACGTTTTGTGATTTGCCCTTCTGTTAATGAATGTATTTCTTTAACACTGAAGACACATGTCCTCCCTCTGAAGCGAATGATTCAATCATGCTAAGGCACCAGTCCTATCTCAGGTACATCTGGCTTCGTGTGATGATTCCGACTCTCGCCTTTAACAAAGTTAGGTGTAATAATTGTCTGAGTCATAATGAATTCCAGAAGCTTGATTTGGCCATTTGGACTGACGTAATGAGTTTTAGACAGCGCTCAGCATCTGAAACTTTCCTTCTATCTAAGAGCCCCGTACTTGATCCACGGGTGCCCGCGTTGCACCCGAGCATCGTTTACCCAAGGTTACCACGTTCCCCTGTTGTCTTAAACCAGAACAATAATGGCTGTGCAGCAGCATGTGTCATGTGACCATGGTCTGTGCGTGTGAATTGATTTGACGTTGTATCTTGCTCCCGTCATTGTTGTTTGCCGAAATCTGCGCATTGACCACCGTGCTTGGCGTCATTCGCAACCATGTCCTCCTCGTCGGCCACCGTCTGCCCCAACGTCGGACCATACAAAGGCAAAATAACCCACAGATCGTGGGCCCAGCTCCCCGAGGAGCTCGTCAGGTAAGAATAGCCCCATTCTTCTCTTCGATGTCGCGTGCTGAAATCCGAAATCCTTTCAGGCAAATCGCTACGTTCTATATACTGGATGTGTCTTCAAACCGTACTTATCCGACGATGTGGGACTTTCGAGAGCTCTGGCATGCTAGGATGGCCTATACAGCTATACGCGACGGCATGGAGTTGGAGAGAATCATGGCGGTGTGCCCACAATGGCTGAAATCTCGTGAGTACCAGTTTTTTTCTCACACATTTGGATACCATCCCGTCGATTCTCCCGGCATCTGGATCATCGTAGAGGCTATAGCCACTCGAGGGCGCCACAAACCAATGTCGACGGGACTTTTTTCCTTTTGCGGATGATGTTTTCCTGGGAAAGGCTTGCATAGTCTCATTGCGTCGTGGATGGCTTGCTTCACTGGCGGTGGTCGTTCTGGATTCCCTACGTCTCCTGGCTGTCTTTTTTGTTGCACCGACCAAGGCGCTGTTGATGGCAGTTGTCATGACCCTTCGTGTAGCGAAGCGAACCGCGCCGCTGTTTTCAGCCGGGCTTTGTTACTGATTTATCTCGAGTCGGTTCCCGTTGTCTTATGATATGACCCCTTTTCCTTCTCATTTTCCTGCCTTTGTGCTCAGCAATATTTCATCATGACTGACGTCCATCATTTCTAGTGGAAACACATCTTTTTTGGCATCATGCCGTCAGTGTCATCGATCCCGTTGACTTCTTAGGACACTACGCGCTCGCGGCCGCCCCCACCACCGCCACAACGAACAGCTCAAACGGTCTACCGTATCCCGAGCGTCTCCCTCCGTATCAACATTATCGTAATATCCTCAGCTATTCGTGCGCCATTTGCCGGATAAACTACCCCCATATCAACCACGGCCTCGGCCAAGCGAAGCGCGCCGTTCGTTCCCTTACTCTAGGTGTCGTTGGCATCTGTCGCGACCACGATCGCCACAAGACGAGCTACTGCGGCGTCTGCTATCGGGAAGCCACCCGGGAACGCGACTTGAGCCGTGACCGTGTTGGGTGCATGTCCAATGAAGATCTCGAAACCTGGCCTGGAATCGATGCGACGTGCAAGCAGTGCCGCAAGGATGGTTTGTTTCGGAGAGCGTACGCGCGAGTGGAAGATCAAGAGGCGCTGGGTATGTTGGGGTCGAAAGATATCGACGACGAAGCGCGAGCAGCAGTCGAGGGCTTCCTTACCTTCGCTGATGGCACCGTACGGCGGACGCTTGAGACGGTCCAGGATAGGCTGTGGTTGAAGAAGCAGACGAGAATGCGACAGTTTAGGTCCCTCGTCGCTGCGAACCGTTATGAAACACGCGAGGACGGCCTGCAGCAGCTCACTGCCTACCGGGCGGCGCTACGTGCTCATGATAGTGATGAGGACCTGGATATGGATGCAAGTGATTTTGATGAGGAGGAAGAGGAGGATCCCGAGATCGAGCAGCGGTCGCTAGAGGATCACAGCGCCAAAAGCATGGCCCTGGGTGACTGGGCACGCAACCGTATATTGGATGGGTTCTGGGTGACACCTTGCGACCAATGGATGTCTGGTACAATGCTACAGGTTTCTCGTGCAGAACATCCCTGTCCGTGGACGCGTGGAGAGGACGACAGCGGCGAACAGCGTCCTCGGCAAGCAACGATTTTGGGCGACGTTCCACCATCGTACAGCCTATGCGAGCACGCGAACTACGCGTACATGAAGGAGCTTCGGACCCTGCTCCTCCCGCCGATGAAGAATATCGTCCGGAGATTGGTCATCGAGTGTGCCGCTGATGGGTACGATGCCGTGAGGAAGGCGACTAAGATGTCATTGGACGATGTTGTTCAGGAGCTCAAAGATGAGGCGGTCTGGTTTGATGGATTCGATTGGCTAGAGAGGAGGAGGAACGACCGACTAGAGGCGCGCAAGAATGAAGAAAGAACGAGAGCCACGGAAGAGAGCAATAGCAGTGACGACTCTTCGCTATCGAGCAAATCGGACGGATCGACTACCAGCCCAGTCCTCTCGACATCGACGTTTCAGACGACGCCTTCCCCGCCACCGAAGGAAGCCGTGTTGATCCCAGTGTCGCCTATCCTCGATCCTCCACGGCTGCTAAGACCGATCCTGTATATTCCTGAATCGCTGATCCACCTGCCGGAGCAGAGTTTGGAGGTGTTCAAAGGCGTGAGTTTTCCGGTTTTCGTTCATTCTTCTTTTTCTGATTTTGATCAGATCTGGAGGGATGCCTGCCGGCCGCTTTATCATTGCCGGTGCAAGATATGCGAGCGAGCCAAGGCTGCGGAGGGCGTTGTTCACGTACCTCCCGAGGATGTCACTCAGCCTGTTACGGCTGCGGCGGAGATTCGGCTGCCGTCTCCCGAGGTCGTACCAGTTGATGCTGACGATGAGGACATCGACTACGATTCGTACTATGACGAGGAGTTTTACTCCGAGGAGGATGAGGAGACGTGGAGTCCCTCCGGCGATCGTAAGTCGCCCGAGGTGCCAGACCCACCTACCAGGAAAAGGTCGTTCGATGATGTAGCTGAGCCCGTAAGGTCGGGGACGCCACCCAAAAAGCTAAAAGTCGACGTAGAGGTAGAGGTCGACGAGCCGGAACCGCAGTTGAAGAAGAGGAACTCGGAGGAGCTCGAAGTCGTTGAGGATGGCGCTCAGAGGAAGCGGTTTAAAACCGAGGATGTCGTCGAGTCGCCACCGACGTCATTGGAGAATAGTGACCACTCAAGCTCGGTCGAGGCGGAGGAGATTCGATAAATGATTGGATGTTTTTCTTGTTTCTCGCATATGCTTTCCTCCGAGTTGCTGCCTGTATTATATCCAATTGATTTTTGCATACCTTTCGTTCGCTTCCCTGTGCTGTATACACCTGTTCTCGTAATTTTGTGGCCCCAAATATGTTTGTATTCATATTGGATGTATCTTATATCGTTTGAATACAATTCAGAGCGAACCGTTGCTATTGTCTACGGCAAGTTATGGCAACATGGATATGTATTGAATTTCTTTCAGGTGAGAAGCAATCTAATCCCTTTGTGAAAGCGCCATTTGGTGTACAAAGACAAGCGAAGTACCGGCATTCTGATTTCCCCATCTGCTGGCAAACATTCAACATACTACTGCTGACATTTCCACCGGTTTGTGCGCTGGAACATGATACAATCAATGCGGGGTACTGCGTCCGATGCGGAAATTCTGCGGGGAAGCATTCAATGTGGTCTCTTTTTTTTTTCTCGTAACCTCGCGCTAGTGTGAAGCCTAGGCTTTGGTTAGGAACACCAGTTTTGATGCCCAGCGATGAGCGTTGACGGGTAAAGAATGGACGCTCAACTCACCTTGTCTTTATTGGGAGAAAAAATGCTACTGTAATCGTCGTGGAGGTAAAAAACCGAGTCTTGTCGTGAAAGTGACTAGCCTACTAGTGAGAGTGTTACCCTGGTTTGTGCAGGATCGTGTCACCGGCGAACGTGTGAACTTGTATCAAGCGCAGCGCTTGTCTCTCTCATATTTCGTAGGCAATGCGTGCAGATCGATCAGGTCAGTAGTTACTTTTGCAGCGCTCGCTATTTTTGTTCTCTAAACATCAGCAGACAAACAACATTTGAAACCGCCTACTTGTACTACCAGTGGCCGGTGGGGGATGAAGTAGCAAAGATACATCTCATCCCCAGAACCGTTCATTCGGGGAATATAGCATATAACATTAATCCGCTGCTGGCATGCGTCGTAAAGCAGGCCAATACAAACATTCCCGGAACAAAAGATTTGTCGCATTAAAGGGATGATTAATACATGCAGTACGAATAAGAATAAGGTTATACGGAACTTGAATACAAGAAAATATTAGCCTAACTGATCATGAACACAAAATGTATATCGATAATACTCAATAGTGAGATGAATGGGAAGAAGGATCAGGGGAGACAGAGAGAACACTGAACTTTCGCCAGATGGTTTCCTCGCTGGAAGACTCTTCTGCTGAGTTGCAGTCATCACGTTCCTTCATTTTGGTGGAATCATCGCCCTCCTGAGTGTCATCACCACTCTCTGAAGTCGGAGGAAGGGGAATGGTGAAAGAGAATCGGAAGCGCGAGACGCTCTCCTCGTCAAAAGATGGCGAGGAATTGGGCTTGTGAGCAGGAGGAGAGGGAGAAGAGCTATACTCGCTGTCATGGAGGCTACGACGCGGATATACGACGACGTCCCCATCTCGGTCGACCTTCCACATCTTTTGGTCCTTTCTGACGCGTTGAACAAGAAGCCGACAGGCCTGGGTGAGCGCGTACATGGTTGTCTCGCGAAGGAGAGTGGAATTATTATTCAGTAGGGAGGAAGAGGGGAATTCATCTTCTTCGGAGACGGCGCGCTAGATACCAGGGTCAGTAAATGCTGCACAGGTATCTGCGTGAAACTGACCAGTGCACACCGTGACTTCCTGCCGTTCGACTTCAGGGGACGGATGAATTGTTGGATTGGGGAGTATGGCTCGGGCATGATGAAAACAGAGAGAGAGGATAGATTTTGTCAATGGTAACTTTGAGGAGGGACTATACGAAGCAGATGAGGAGTATCATGTTTAGGTGGTTTTTATATAGCTGCTTTGCATGGTCCAGAGCAGGTTGATTTCTAGATCCTTGGCGAGCCTCGGGAGATGCCTGTACCTCTGTCGATTATCCAACGGATGACTAGAAGACAAGACCATGCAATGATGAAATATCAAGATCCAAAAAGATTTTCGTGTTGGATGTGAACTGCGGCAGGTCCCGAGATGAAAACTGGCGGGGAGCTCCTTTGCTGTCCCTGATGATTGATCGAGAACCTCGTAATTAACCGCTAGGTGTTCCTTTCTTTGACCGACAGGCAAGTGCAACTTCAATTCTACTGTCTACAGAAGATATTGCTGCTTCCATCGTAGTTGAGACCTATGATTTATTGTTGACATTGCAACATTCTTCTGTGTTCCACGAGAAGGGAAACTATGCAAAGAGAACTTCGGCGCGATTGACTCATTTAAATGAACCACATTGATGCCGGTCGTGATAGACACTGACCAAGCCGGGGAAGGGCTGATCTAGTTTCGTAAGGGTACGAGAGTTAAGGAGGTGAATGATCTCGGTGATATCCGCAAGTGCCTGGGAACGTGGGTGCTGTTCTATGGAAACGGATGAGGTCTCGGTTCATACATATGCGTAAGTGCATATCCGATGAGTGATTGACGTTGAACCCTAGTCCAAATTTAGGCTGTGTACCAAAATATTTTTGGAAAAGAAAATGACGAGTGAATGAATTCAGGAAACCTGAACACACGGACGGTCGAATAGATTTCATTCGACTTCTTTAAGTAACTGGACTAATCAATAGTTGGATTCATGAATGTTAGGTGCAGTTCAAGCTAGGCAGATTATACGCTAATAGAGGCACCAGCTCTGCGTATGAAAGCGACGGATACAAAGGCCATACACCGATGAATGCAGTCTGGACTTTTCGCCATCATGTAAGGAAAAAAGTTTGTGTAGCCTTTCATCCCTTGAAGGTCGACCGTAAGTGGCGCAGGGATGTGGGATATGCGTAACTGTTGTCGACCATAGAATTGGATCCAGTGCGAAACCCGAGAAATCAAAAAAAACTTACAGCGTTGTTTACTCCGGAAGTCTGATACAAAGAAGCGATGTAGAAAATGAGTGAAGGAAGCTGGTACAATCCACAGGTTTTCCGCGTTAGAAGGATAGAATTCGACTGTATGGATCTTGCCCTCGATGTATCACAAGAAATTACCAGGCTGATGCACATGATTAATAAGGCAAGGCCTCGTCGATGGCTTGTCTCATTGTCAATCAGGTCTTTCCGATATCATCATCCCTGTATGTAAAGTGTCAGATCGTCATATGGAACCTCGGACCGAACGATCCTGGATCAGGGAGGGCACCGTGTTCTCCGATGATGAAGTGCCCACTGTAATGGCGAAGCCTAGAATTTCGGTACCGTGGGACCTTAATTCTATGGTGATGAAGAACTTGGGGTAGGCTGTTTGAACAGTTCTTAGTCCAGCAATATAACTGACCATAACCACCAATTCAATTGGGATGAAAGGTCCAGAGTTGTAATCATATATAGTCTCTGGCAAAAATGATAAGATTTCAGACGAGAATCCTCGATTTGGTCAGACTAACCGAGAACGTAAAGGGTAGTGCTTCAAGTTGCTCGTCAAGTAAGCACTTCTGACGACTTGCCCCGGTGCATTGAACAATCGGCCGTTGCCTTGAAATTGCATTTATCATTGTAGATCCAACGAAGCAGGATATGAATACCCCTGATTTGGTGTCGATGGAACGAAAGGGGCACCCACAAGGCAAAGGGTCCATTTCCGTTCGCGTCGTGGGTCCTTTGGACGCGAAACACTGCGCAGGGAAGTCCCTTTGATGGTATTGGAATTGACATTCGACCCAATGTCGACCATCGCTCGCTTACTTGCATGATCGCCGCTGGCACCCCGCAGTTAGATGGAATACACCCGGAAGCTCGATAAGTGTAAACTCGCGAAAGAAGGAAATAGCGCCTTTCCATGGTCGTACAGAAGTCCAATAAGTATTATATCGCAATTAATTATCCTAATTTCAAAAAACTTACTAGTAAAGCAGCTCAGTCTGTAGAGTAGTCATGAATGCCATGCATGTACTGATGACCAGTTCCCACCTGATCCCACGCGCTTCGACAACGTCTTTGATCTCCGTATCGGCGGACGCCGAGCACCTCGTAGTCAGATTATTAGAGAACAGGGTACATCCCCGGCATGTTCCTGTTGAAGAGCAATGTCAGATTAACTTGCCTCCCTTCTTAGCTCCAAAATCCCGCTCAGCTCATTCCGCGATATGCAGGATGGCGCTGTATTTCCTAGAAAATAGTCTCGGTTAATTTATCTATGCAATGCATAATGGCGCTTACAGGGAGATCAACGTGAGCCACGGCGAAGATCTTATGAGAAAGATATCTGCTCGTCTGATCGTCCTTCGTCGGATGGTAGCGATTTCCTGGGAGGTAGTAACACAGCGACGCAGCACCGGCCGGATCTACTGCACCATGCATCCATCTGTAGAATGTCGATTACATTACGCGAGACACCATCAGAAGGTAAAATATACCATTATCGGTATCGTTTTCTCTTGTGAATCCTCAGGCGGACCGAGACTTTTGGATTAGGTAACCTCGCTCTCGGATTCTGCAACCTTATTTATCGTTTCGCGATCGCGTCAACATCTATGACAGGGTAGCCGCCTGTTTTCATTACCGCAATGACTTCCCTGATGCCGAGTCCCTTGAGAACCAGCATGGAAGGGCTGTTCCGGAACACAGCTTGGCGTATTCACTGGTAACCCATTTTCATAGAAGATAGCCTGGCCACGAAGACGTCGTTAAGGCCCACCCTGACTAACGAAGACTACGAAGAGACGGACCTCTATTGGTTCCATGAACACCGAAAAGCCATGAGTCTTAACACCCAATGTGACTAAGAGAACCTGATTTTTCGCAGTCAAAATACCGAGGGCATTGCTCGAATGGCATAAACCAAGAACGAGACGTAGGGCAGGAGACTCTATTGGAAAGTCGGTGCGACAAGATCGTGGGTATAAATGCATATTACGCCTTAGTGCGTATTTCCTCGGTCTTCTTGTTGGGTCTCTTACCCTTGCGTTGTAGACATATTTGTGCCTAAACACACATTCTGCGTACGCCAGTCGATCGGAAGGCAGCCGTTTTTTGAGCGGCCCACTACGAAGCAAACTTTTGGTGCCGGAGACATTCGAGAATTTACATAGAAGACAATCGTCCATCCATAGTCATCTTCCTCTTTGTATTAGTCAAATACGAACCTCAAATAGGATCAGCCACTAAGAGACGCCTCCTGTATAGGATGTCTGATTTCAGCAAATGCGCCTTTATATTGATGGTTTACGACAACTGTCAGTGGGATGTTTGAGTAAAAATGGTACTCAGCTTTCCGAAATTGAAGAGACTGACGACTAGACAGCATAGTGAATATTGTCAGTAATGAAATTTTCTAGAGATTTGACAAAATACATGATTAGAACAAGAGCAGAAACACAAAAGGAACGTACTCAAACGCGAATGATTTAGAAGGCCGTATTGGGTCTCGCCAGTACGCTTAGCACTCTCTACGCACTGTATAGATGGTCCTATCGAGTCTGTTTTACCGATCAATATATCTGTTCACGTTAACTGGAAGTGAAGCTGGGGATAATCATCTACGACCTGGGTTAATAAATATTAAAATTACGCGTCAATACAGCAGCAAGTGCTTACCGACGATGACTGAGGCAGCGTTCGGATGTTCAAACATGAGTACAAGGTCCATCCTTCCCCAAAGTGAGAGCGTCCTCTCGACGTAGACTATCAAGGGAGGGATTCTTTGCGAATACTTTTCGGCTGAGTACGAGTGGCGCGACGTCAGAAACCACTGAGCAGGGGCATCAATGTAGCTGCCAAGATGAAATCGTTCGATCATTGGCTAACAGTAATTTCTCTACGATCCGTTGTTGATAACATTCAAGACAATGCACCCCTCAATACAGGAAGAGACAGTACCATCATGCCGTGGAACTTTCGCGCAGCCGTCCAGGAAGACTTGGTCTCAGATGACCGGTAGCAATTAGAATCATACAACCAGCCGAATATCGAAGCGACAGAACGGACCGTCGAAATTGGCGTAGATGTTGGGAGAAGGGCAACGGGAATTGTATCTGAAGAATACCGATATTATCATGATGAAGAGCGTAGCGGCTACGGTATTATCAATAAACCGGTGACATTGAAAATACGTTTTCTTTCACGGAGTTTGTACTGGTTTATCTGCAGCCTCAAGACTGAGTAGCGGAAAGCTTTCATCCTTTGAGACTTCACCAACGTTGAGCCTGTCTTGGGGAAAGTATGAAGATTGAAGGAATGAGTTCGGTGGGAAGGTGCGTACCGCAGCAACGATCGAGAGGTGTGACCTTGGGTGCCGCGTTGTAGCGTAGCGAGATCTTCTTTAGGCGATTCTATAGCCCATGGATCCCTTGTCTGGACTGTCAACGGAATCAACCTAGTTGACCGCTCCACCACGCATGTGGTCGAAACCCTCTGTAGAGTCTCGTGGTTGAGATCATTTTCTTTCCATGCAGTGACCCTATCGCAGGATGCAGTGGGATCCGAGTACGTAGGCAGAGTGCGGTAAAAGACTGGCTCGTGCAGAACCTTCCCTATGGTAAGGCGATGTCCAACTCGGGGGATTGTGAGCTTCCATTTAGCAGCTGATGGTACCATTAGAATGAGAAAGAAGAATAAAGGAACAAAATGGCACACCCACGGCGCTGGCGTTGTACACCAAGATAGTCAATGTGAATAGATCGACGTCTTTCTCCAGAGAAAATGTCTGCCACGGTCATGTTAGGTAGGGAACCGTCTGAATGAATAGTCGTCGCACCTGCTCCTAGTACTTTCCTAGCGTTGGATCCGGCACCTCGTGAACACTGCTGGGAAGACCGACTTGATCGTGTCTTCTGTACCTACGCTCTTTGTCTCTATATGAAATCAATATCTCCAGACCGCCGAGAACGACGGCGCGCTATGCGTAATGATGTTAATGGACGAAAATAGATGGACGCCTTGCGAAGGGGAGGATCGCTGCTGCAGTCGTGTTAGGTAGGAAGGTGTCTGAATGGGCGGTGAGCATACCTATTTCTAATGCTTGCAGCATTGAAACCAGACCTCTTGAAGGATAACTGAGTTCACATTGGCCACGAAAGCGTCTTCATATGGTTCCATGATACATTAAGCGGTTGACAACGTTGAAGGTTCGAAGGGCGTTTCTGAGAGCTGCGCGTTCTCCTCGGTACACCGTACGCGTGGCGAGCTCTGTCAACCGATGATTTTTTCGACATTGGGAGATATGAAAAAGGCAATATTGAATACTGGAGAGAACGATAAGCGTGAAAGGGCGGAGAGGGAGAACAAATGACTTGCATTAGCCATGGAATCTAAGAAAATGGACCCGGGTGATCCGGGCCGCGTATTATCAAAGCATCGACAAATACTCCAGATCAAATTGCCGTCCTCTCTTGCCTTTCGCCGTCACCCTCAAACTAAGGCGCACGCTCTTCGTCCAATGAAAGGCCAGGCGGTCCAAATCCTTGGAAATTTGGGAGGAATCAGCAAAGGACCACGTAAACCAGGCTGTCTCTGATATCTCAGACTCTTTTTACGCGTTCGGAAGGTTAGACACAGCCAGTTAAGTGAAACCCTGACCTTTAAATTTATCCCTCGTCAAAACTATTTCCTCCAGCTATTATCACGATTTACTGGGATATTCGCATCAGCATCAGTTCAATTACGTACTGACTTGCGGTTACAGTCATAACGTTATCTGCCACCGTCAAACACGAATAAAAGCATTTCTCTTCGCAGTTTCCAATGTCAAGGTATAGCTGCCCGAGGTTGCATGTGCGACGTGAAGCCCACGTGGAACGATCTCACATATAGAGGAGAGGTAACATTTCATATTCATTTACAATCGCTGACACAAACAAGCAGGAACACTTTCAAGCACATGGTGCTTCTGCACTGAATTGAAACACAGTTCTGCCAGCGCTCGGCAAAATGCAGACGCGCTCTGTCGGTTAATAACTCTTGTGAACAACGGTCCGATTAGCATGTATACCAGGGTAATGCTGTAGTTAGCCACCGCTGCACAACAGTGAGTCAGTTTTCATATGATGCGGTCGCTATTGCTAATTTGTTAGCCAGAACGGCCTGTTTCTTAACCAGCAATGCGCCTCCCACCAGAGATAACTGACGGAGTCATCGACGAAATCCGCTATGAACATCATGCCCTCCTATCATGTTCCCTCGTCTCCAGTCGATCTTTGTTGAGTCAGAGTTTGCAGTGACGGATGTTTTGGTTCCAGGGAGAGATACGCCTCCTGCAAGCGAGCATTACCTTAGTTATTAGAGTCCAACGTATGCTCGCGCTATGTAATCGAGTGAGGGAGATAGGATGAAATAGAGTCTGACGTGGGACCGTTGTGTTTCAGTAGATTATTACCCTAGTGCGGCTCGGGTCCATATTTTATGGTAGGATCACAGCCCTATGCCGGCTTGATATTCTTTTGTGGATCCCTACGTCACGAACATTAATACCTCTTCCCAGAAACATTATTGCTCTGGAGACTTGGTGAAAGCCTGTCTCTCTTGATTCTTCAGGTATTATCTCATTGAAATTTGACTGAAAGTCGAATTCTATGTAAGAGAATGGACCTAACTGGATATAATCTTCCACAGAGACATTAGGACAAAACCAGTGCTTTTTTGAATGTATTCCCTGGGCAGAGAATGCAGTCGCATTCGGTAATTGGCCTTGCAGCAGTGTATTACTATTAGAAGCTAGGGAAGAGGCACCCCACGTGACAATGAATGGTGAATTATAAGGGAAACACAACATGGCGCTTCGGTGTAATAGCTGAGCGTCCGATATGGGAATACAGGTAACGATTTTTTCCCGGCTAGTTCGATCCCTTTGGTTGAAACTTGATGTTTCGTTTTCGGAAGGAAGAAACACGATTCCGATCACCATTAATTCATCTTTATTCATGTAACATTCATTCTCCTCCATCACAGATCACTCTTACCAACCACTCTGTGACATCTTTTCTCTACGAGGCAACAACGACGCACATCAGTACGGAAAAGCTGCATCCGGTAAGGGACACTCACAGGAGGACGATATGGAGCACACTTCTCAGCTCTTCTCTGTTAAAGACCATCAAGATTAAATGAGGCCACAAACCGGATTTATATACCTTGAACACCTTATTACCAATAGGTCGCAATAATGAACCCGGACCCATTCATCGGGGATATACGATCCAAATCCATGATCAACAGTTATCCATCGCACCATGTCACCAAAATCGCTTGCGCCAGAATGAAGTCAAGTGCGAAGGAACTATACAACGCTGGACAGATTAATCTGCACATGGATACGCGCCATGAATTAGCATCACCCGTACCATACATATCCCCAACGGGAAGAAGCTTGGGGATCGACACCGCGGCTTCGAATTGGACTAGGGCAAACCCAAGAATCCACAAAGCGATGCCGGTTCTTTGACAATGCTACTCCGTCTCGGAACAATGTTCATCCAGAGATAACCAAGCGGCTCCTCTCCCAAAAGGCGCAGACGCAGAGATGCGGCAGCCACATAAAGTATCAAATATCTCTGACCCGAAGCCGGAGTCACAGTAATATTGAGCTGTAATGGTGGCGAGGATCGTCTCCGAACTCGAAGGTCCTATCCAGCATGATTCACCTCATCCAGCGCGCTATCAATACCAATTGTTCTTGAGGGAGACAGTGAGGGAAGGAGGGAAGGAGGGAAAGGAAGGATAAAGAGATCGATTGAAGGACGCGCCGTTTTATACCAGTCGGGAGGCCATATTCGGGGGCGGGGGATCTGCTTTCAATGACGTTTGTTTGTTCGTCACCGTCATCCGTGGTTCAAAGCCTGCGCCAACCGCCAAATTCAAGGCTTAGAGTAGCTGTTTATCGATCTGATCGGGAGAGTAAATACGTTAATGTTTCAGAAAAGAGCGGAGAAGAGCTTTTTAGCGACACCGCCAAATATTCAGCGAGAGAAAAAGAAAGCTAGTTTCACGCTTTAGTCTGCTAATTAGGAAAGTCGTGTATTCTTTCTTCGCATCCGCTACACAGGGACATCACCTACCACCGGCCCGTAGTGCATAAGAAAGTGACACTCATGTCACGCAAGGAGAACCAAAACAAAGCCGCGAGAAACAGGTATTCGTCGGACTAAATATAAATTCAGTGTAAGTGAAAAATGTCGGCCAAGCTGAGAGCCATAGGGTAAAATCAATTTGTAATTTAAAATTCGATTTTCACAGGGCCAATTCATGATTCAATGGAAACAATCTCTGCACCTTAACATCTATTTCTTACTAGTCTCAGCAGTGACGCGCCTGATCAAGTCCTTATTGTGCGAAGACAAAACATTTATGAAACGAAGCCGGCCCTCGGTCATTGCCGGATCCTTCCCTTCCTGGCCATCACCAACTGAACTTTTTAGCACGAGCGGGTACTACCTAAAACACCGGGTTAACAGGCTCCACGCTGAATAATGGGTCGTTACTCTGATGTCTCGTACTTGCCATAAACACGGCAACATGCAGCCTTCCTTCTCAGCGTAGCCAGGGACGATAACAACGGCGACAAGCAATGTTTTGTGTTCAGATTCTCGTAACTCTGGAGATGATACATGACCAAAGTACTGGAACCGTCGATCTGGAATAATCGACAATCTTTGTCAGAACAATCTATGGCCACTGGTTGCCTGATGCTCAAGTCTTTCTCTCGTCTATATCGAGCTTAGATCCTGTGCTTTAGCACCCGAACAACGCTGCAGGCAAAGGAACACTCCAAGAACAATGTTTAGCTACAATCCTATGGCAAAGTCGCGGGTAAGTAACGGGCTACATTTCTCTGGACCATTACCCTTGAATAAAGGGATGGGAAGGACAGAACGCCACAAACCCGAATTTGACTTTGCATAATGACCTCCGCGTCGGCCTGTTCTTCAGGACAATGCCACGCAGGATGTCTTGATTGTTCATCGCTTTCAGTCACGGGACCACGTCTCGTCTCTCAAAATCCCGGCTGAATGTTGTCTTTTCATCGTATCCTCTATGTCTTCTGATGATTTTCTGTCATGTATCGGGTATGTTCCCACACAATTCTCATGTTCTGTGGCACTGACATCGTGCAGGAGTGGTCTCCCATTCGCGATGGTCCAAGAACCTGGTGATCATTCGTACGTCTACCCACTCTTCACACTCTCTCATACATGCCTGATATCCTTTCTCAGCGGTGATGATGAGTCCTCTCTGTCCTCCTCACACTCAGAAACCTCCCCGCCAAGCAGTAGTGGCGGTGTGCTTTTCGACCTCACTTTCACGCTCTTAGACGTGTCGAGCAGGTACCTGTCTATGTTCCTTGTCATTTATTATTGATCTGATGCATTCGTAGCACCGACGTTCCGCGGACGAACGTGTTTTCAGATGGCTTCGTTAGCGAACCGGACGAGATGAACACGTAGGTCGTGGCTTTTTTCTCGTTCGCGCTTATTAACGGGATCCATGTCGCGTCATGCTAGGCATTCTGTCGTTCCAGCCACTATGTCGGTTGGCATTGAGGTCGATGACCAGTTCTGGCATGGCAGGACAGGCCGCGATGTGGACGGTCTCGTTGTAGGTGGCCACTACGGTGGTGCCGATGTTGGGCATGTACCCATGAATCAGATCCACGCGTCTTCGCTCAAGTCACTCCTTCAGCACGAATGCTCCGTTCATGGAAGGATGTACTGTGGACAAGTGAGCGGTATATTTTTCTCCTCATAGGATCATACTCACTGGATTAGCTCGGTATTGCCTCATTCATTCGCTAGGGGTAATGATTTCGAACGTCATTCACATGGCAACGTGTATGGCTTTGGAATGTGTTCGCACGGTGGCCACGACCTTGAAGCTTTCGTACCTCGTGCTTGGTGGGAAAACAGGTATGTTGCTTTGATTTGCTTCCGCATTCTGTTATTAACTTCCATTGAGTGATGGAACTATGAGGTCATCATCGACGACGGTTTCACGTAAAAGCCAATTCTACCTCCAAAGCGAAAATGATGGGTACACAAGAGAATGTGGCTCGAACATCCCTGTTGGCGAGAACCCTACACGTTCAGGGTATGTGTATCCTTGTTCTCCAACACATCCATTGACACCGAAAGTAGACACACTCTCCTAGCTACTTGTTCGAATTTTCTTGCTTTCGGTAGGTCTGGTTCAACCCAGACGCACTCCCATTCCTTGATTCCCGGAAGGTCTGCCCCAACGTCAAGCTCGGATCCTTCCAACTCATTTCTTTCAGTCCATTCCTCATCCTACACTCAACGATACATCATACCTGGTACGCCGAACTACATGCCACCCCATGATGAATACCCAGTGGCGTCATCCTCGAAAATCAATCTCGACAAAACGGTCACCCAGGAAGAACTGTCGGTCAATCGGCATTTCATCAATGACGCGTCGTTCAACAGTATCAGGCGCATCGGACAGTGCGTCTACACTATTTCTCCCTCTTTGAATAGACTTACATTGACATGCAAGGCTCCGACTCAGAAATCTAAGGGAAAATGTGGTTCCTCGAAGACGTCTCAGTACGTCTTCCTTCTCGGTTTTATTTGACGTATTTGCTCACTTTCGATCAAAGGAAACCTCCATACGAGCGAACTCTCTGTCGCAAACAGTTAATACTGTGCATGATTTTCCGACCGTTTCTTCCTTCCCTCACTGACTGTTATTATTGTAGGCCTCCACCTCTCGGCTTGGCGTCGTTTTTGTAAGTCGTTATCGTTCTCAGCCAGTTATCTGCTCACTCTAAACCAATCCAGTGAGGACGGAAGAAATACATATGTTCCTCTAACAAAGTTCCAACTCAGTCGGCTCATCAAATTGTACACGGTTCCCCCAAACGCCACAGTCGAGACATATTTCTATGGAATCCAACGTATCGACAGACCGGACAACCTCTACATCTGTCCAATAAATACGTGTCGAGCCGAAATCACTCTCGAAACTCTCAAGGCGCACTACCTCGCCCATCACACCACCGTCAACTGCGATTCCGCCTGTCCAAGTCAGACCAAAGACCCGGCTGCGAGACATACCGATCGCTGCCTGTGGTTTGTTCATTGTGAAGAACATAGATATACGGCGATGTTTTCAGTCGCAGAGGCCACAGCTCACTTTGAAGATGTTCATTTGCGTCCCCGTGGTGTGCAGTGTCCTCACTGCAAAAACTTCTATCAATCTAAACGGCTTCTGTACAATCACATGTGTACAAATGCTTGCAAGAACCTGCAATCCCACAGACGTGGATAGTAATAGAATTACCTAAATACATTCATATGTAGTATAGTGACCATCCTGTATCGATTAGTACACACTCAAATGTCCGGTTTTACATCCTCAGTATGTATGGCAGTAAGATCGAATGTAACCAGGAACGGGACGTAATGACACCCATTCTTTCGATGTCGCCAAAATTCAGAACAGGGTTTTATTGAAACAGTCTTTAGAGGAATGAATTAAGGGTGCATCGTTCATCGAGAACGATTTATAGTCGAGAAACAGGACTGGCGAGAGGGACAATGCTTGTTTGTGAGAATATATTCACTATTAAACTGTGGATGATATTGGATCTCCGGTATCAGGACTAGAGGAGGGACAGAGACTCTTGTATGTGCCATTCTCATCGCGTTATCCACCGTTACAGAGGATTGGAATAAATACGTCTGCTTACGATAAATCTCGAATCAGCTGTTCTCCACTTATACTAACATTTCCGGACATTTCATGTGTTCAGAGATCAGTAAACCGATGAAGGGAAGTGGACAACCTTTTGAAATCCCATCCACAAAATTCGCCGACCAGGAGAGGCGGCGCAGAAGAAAAGAATTGAGGAGGCTCCTCGCCTGCATCTTTAAACATGGATAGATCTACCCTGACATACCTTGAGATGAAAGTATGAAGGTGTGGTACGTTTTTGAAAAGAGCCAAAAAAGTTGGTGCTTGTGAGACGAAGGAGAGTCGGTCTCCGATGCCGTCGGATGCGAACTTGAAAATCAGAAGGGGTAGATCTTCGGGAAGACTAATGGGAGCAAGGATAGACATGTGGTTGTCGAGGTCGCATTGATCGTTCTGTAGTTCACATTTCAGATCAGATATCAGGGACTTTTGTAGTCTCACTTCTTGGTCTCTACATCGGACTTCGCTCTCGAGTATAGGGGTTGTGTCACGAACGGATGAATCAAGGTCTGCAGCTGAGCATCCACCACGGATGAGTGCGAAAATCGTTTCGTTCTTCTTGTGAAGTGTAGCCTTTCAGTTGTTGAGATGGAGACATGAGGATTAACATTGTTTCATTTCGGCGACGTTCAGCGTCTCCTATAATTATTCTTTGTGAGCCTGACTTACTCTTCGAGTAGAGATAGATACAAATCAAGCTGCGTGTCTGTCAACGACGCTGCAGTCGTAAAGTCCCCAAAATAGACATGCACGGATCGTGTCTTTCGTATCTATTAGATAGGAATTCGGTAGGGCCGGTTTACGCCTTCCTCGAGCATCAAGGATATCCAAATGTGGTGGAACAGCAGCTTGGAAGAGCCAGAATTTGATAAGGAAAGGGACCAGTTGCGAAGCTAATACTTTTGACTACGCAAGTGGGAAAACGAGTCTCCGTTTCGTTCGTCGCTCTAAAATCGGTGATGGGGTAGGGAGTGAGAATCAGAAACACCACCTGTACAGCTTCCGAAGACGAATTTGGTAATCGACCCTTACTAGCTAAGCATCATGGCGCGCCCAAATGAAACCCATCACGGACTTCTATCGCCATTTAAATCGAGCTGCATGACCCGTTTGAGCTTAGGATGAAGAGGCTTGATGCTGAACATTGAACCTTCGAGCTTGTCACGCTGAACGCAATGTATAGCACAACAGATGCAGATGGAAGAATGTGTGTACTGGATCCCATCTTCTGTATTATCACTTCTCCCGCAGCAGCAAATCACAGAATATGAATGAAAGATTTATAACATTTAACACCATTTTACGAAGTATTCCTCCGTATGCAACAGGCCTAGCATATTGGACCACAGTTCAAATTCAACAAGAAACATTACAGCTCTTTTTGTGACCCGTCCGATGTCTTGTTTCAATGTCGCGGTCCATGGCAGTGAAGTGAAAAATGAAACTCGGCATGTCTCAAGTAGTGTGAGAACATAGACATTCATTCGTCACTCTCTAACTCACTGACTCACTCGATCAGATGAATCTGACTGAGACTACTGAGACTACGATGTCCTTCTATTTCAAGATTAACACATGGTAGACACTAGCACTCATTTTCATTTAAGTCTGGATCTCCCTCGCACCTCCAAAGTTCTTCATCAAATTTTCCCCAAGGAGCATCAGAAATGGTAAGCACTTTTCCTTTAGTCCTTCTCCCCTTTAACAAATGAAATCATGCAGGTTACCTGTCCTAAATGCGAGTTTGGTGCTGTAGTCCCTTACACACCTTCTGTCAATGCTATTGAACTCTTGCAATTGGGAGCCTCATCACACGACATCTGTCATGCCTCTCTGTCTGACGACATCACCAATCTTGAAGAGGAGCTACAAACAATTGAATCTCTCTTCATACAAATCAGAGATCGACGAGACAGGATTCTCAAGGACCTCGGCTGCTGCAAGGCCCTCCTGGCACCGATCCGTTGTTTGCCTCGAGAGTTGTTACTTGAAATATTTGACCTCGCATCTTCTGATGTTCCTGATCCTCATCATGCTCCATGGATCCTCGGTCAAGTGTGTTCCACATGGCGGTGCATTTCTCGTTCTTGTCCCTCCTTATGGACAAGAGTCTGCATTGCTAAAAATTTCCACCACTATTCTCCTATGTTCTTTGAACAATACGCCTCTCTCTCCAGAGACCTACCCATGCATATCTCCATAAACTACCTGGATAGTGAAACAATGAATGTTCTCAGTGGCATAGTCCTCCATCCGGAACGTTGGTCAACTTTAGAGCTGCACACAAATGCAGCAGAGTTGGTTAAGCTGCTATACCTAGCATCCAAGTCATCCCCAGCCATTCAATTGATGAAACTTCATATCAGACTCTTAGATGTCATTCAACCATGGATCGATGCCAAAGTGTCACACAAGCTCTTCTCCTCATCGCCTATCCAAGATGTCACTTTTCAATATACTTTATATCGGTGTATGCCAATAAACTTGACCAAGCTATGCAAGTTCCATGTATATTCATATGATCCTGCTGAACTCCATGACATGCTACAACATGCACAATGTCTAGCTGAATTCACTATAACACCAGCTCCACATCCTCGTGATTTTTCTGCACCAATTTCATATCCTCATATATGCCACACCTCTCTCCAACGGCTTACATTTGTCATTTCTAGGGCAAATACACATCATTTTGACAAAGTCCCAGTCACTTTCGACTATGTCACTCTCCCTGCGCTCCAGGAGTTCAGTATTCTACAGCCAGAAAACTGTATTATCTTCGGAGTCACTTTCGATGCTGTCGAGTACTCCCGTCTGATTAATCTCTTTCAGCGGTCAGAGTGCAATTTGACTATTATCACCTTGTCCATACCTGTTTCTGTTGAACTGTTCCTTGATCCCATCCTCATGCAATCCCCTGCTCTCCAAAAGCTGGACATCACCATTAATACAGCAACAGCAAGGGATACCTTTAAAGCTTTGGAATCTGGGAGAGGGAAAGCCCCACATCTAAGGGAGCTGTGCATTAGAGAGGTTACAATGCAGATGGGAAATATGGATCTTGTGAAAGAGATGGATGGATTTCATGTGATGGTCCTTTCCAGATTGGACAGTGATAGTCACCTGGCAAAACTAAGACTATTACTGCTGGGCTGTGATTGGAACATGCACCGAGCCAGCCCATTCCCTGACAAGTCACCACTCCATGACTTGTTCAGGATCAAGAATCAAGGAATATACACTGAGTTCTTATTGGATCAGGAGGATTGCAAAACTGCTTGTATTGTTCATCAGAGTAATGCATGAGCTCGCTCTTCAGTGTTCAGACTGAGTTTGGCCTTAAGAGACAGATGGCCTCCAATGTTGAGGTGCCATATATTATACAGGTTGTAAGGTATATTATACCATATATTCTACAGATTGTATGCCATTTGGGTATTGTTAAGTCATGTAGAGTAGTAGAATAGAACGAAATACATTTGCTAAGTCTAGGAACAAAACCAAAAATTAAAGAATGTCCGAGTCGGTGTGTAACCACTAAGAAATCACAAAGAGAACGTGTTTTGACTACAATTGGCAAATCGTGATTTGCCCTGTGCGGGATGCAACTGCGATCCTCCCGACATCTTCATCATAGTCCAATGAGATCCATGGATCTCTCGTATTGATACACAAATTATAGACACAGGGATATCCTGTGTCGTTGAGTGGACCAGGAAATACAGCAGCAATGATTGCCTCATCACTCCGTTCGCTCCAGCCTGAAAACCAGTGGCTTTGGTCGGAATGGATCCAAACGGCCGTTGCCCGCTTGCCAAGGACGACCTTTGGACATCCGATAGTTCTCTTGGGCGAGTGCGTTTTAGCGATGAGCGTTGGCGGGAAGGATGATATGGAGTAGTATTGGAAACATTTACAATTGATATCTGCGGAAGACATATCGCCACGGATAAGAATGGAGGTGGGGGTTGCACTGGCGCCGTCAATGGGTTCAAAGGAATATTGGTCGACAGGCATTCGTGATGGAAGGACATAGCGAGAAATGGACCTGGTGCATACTACGAGGATGGTGGGCGGGGTTATGATGGTTTCGAGGCAATGATCGGATGGTGTGTCAAGGTGTGCGAGCTCGCCGGTCTTCCAGTTACGGATGATTGTTTCGGAGGTGCGATTGGTTAGTGCTAGAAAGTCGCCGGCGAGGGTGACAAGGAAGAGGTTGACATCGAGAGAGAAGACTTCAAACAAATGACCATCGTCGTGCAAACACAGGAGCGCAATTCTTTGCGATCTTTAGAAATCAGTAGTTGTTCAGAAGGTTTGATCATTTAGAAGATTGAAAGATGCTCACAATGAGACTGCGATGGCAGCTTCAGACTCTGGGTTATCGTTAACCTTCACATCTGTGAATCCACCGTCGTTCAGGAGAGGGGTCCATATCGAGCACTTGGACCACAGCAAGATGTTCCAAATCACCAGGGATTTTCCCTCAGATACGGCCAGCAACCACTTGTGTCCTCGCCCTGGAAGCAACTTGACCTCTGATACAGGCCTCTCGGTATAAAATGTCTTTATCATAGGTGATTGAGGAATCTGAGAACGCCATTGGCCTGCGAGTCGGTACGAATTTCGTACGTGGTGCTCGAGATCTGTTGTGGTATCAAATATTTCAAGAGGGAATGGGTATTCATTTGGTAGAATGTCGTGGTTTAGAATATTGATCCATATGTGTTCTTCCCTCGTGAGTTCATCGAATCGCCTACATGTCTGAGGATTCATATTTAGCAGCAAGTATCATAGGGCGAGAAGATCATTACCTGTCGCAATGCAAGTATATGAGGCACTGAGAGAAACGTGATAGTGTGTATGAGCACATTGTCGTCGAGCAGCGTCAAGTTCATGTTTAAGAGTATTGGGCCGATCGATCCTTTAACTAAGCAGGGTGTTTCAGAATGAAAGCATGGACTGGTGGTATATGCACGACTTGACGACTACCTGGTTTGAGTCCTGATCAAAAAATCTCCCAGCTTTTTGATACTGTTTTTTCTGCCACCACAGCGGCTTGTTGCTATGCGGGTTCCTAAAAGAGCATGATAACACCATTGGTTTATCGTTGAGTACCAAGGTTCGAGTCCCAGCCAAAGATTCTCTATTAGAGATTGGCGAACCGTAGACGATGAAACTCAGAGCCAGGGACTGAAGCGTCGGGTGTAAAGAGAACCAAGGGACCTTTGTAGGATCGTTGATGAG